CTATCTAACTAAAGCTTCAATGGCTAGATTGGAGCTCATGGGCTATCTAACTAAAGCTTTAATGGCTAGATCTCAGTTCATGGGCTATCTAGCTAAAGCTTCAATAGCTAGATCTCAGCTCACAGGATAGATAACTAAAGCGTCAATGGCTAGATCTCAGCTCACGGGCTATCTAGCTAAAGCGTCAATGGCTAGGTCTCAGCTCATGGGCTATCTAACTAAAGGGTCAATGGCTAGAGCTCTGCTCACGGGCTATCTAACTAAAGCTTCAATGGCTAGAGCTCAGTTCACGGGCTATCTAACTAAAGGGTAAATGGCTAGAGCTCAGCTCACGGGCTATCTAACTAAAGGGTCAATGGCTAGATCTCAGCTCACGGGCTATCTAACTAAAGGGTCAATGGCTAGATCTCAGCTCACGGGCTATCAAACTAAAGGGTAAATGGCTAGAGCTCAGCTCACGGGCTATCTAACTAAAGGGTCAATGGCTAGAGCCCAGCTCACGGGCTATCTAACTAAAGGGTAAATGGCTAGAGCTCAGCTCACGGGCTATCTAACTAAAGGGTAAATGGCTAGATCTCAGCTCACAGGCTATCTAACTAAAGGGTCAATGGCTAGATCTCAGCTCACGGGCTATCAAACTAAAGGGTAAATGGCTAGAGCTCAGCTCACGGGCTATCTAACTAAAGGGTCAATGGCTAGAGCTCAGCTCACGGGCTATCTAACTAAAGGGTAAATGGCTAGAGCTCAGCTCATGGGCTATCTAACTAAAGCTTCAATGGCTAGAGCTCAGCTCACGGGCTATCTAACTAAAGGGTCAATGGCTAGAGCTCAGCTCACAGGCTATCTAACTAAAGGGTCAATGGCTAGATCTCAGCTCACGGGCTATCTAACTAAAGGGTCAATGGCTAGATCTCAGCTCACGGGCTATCTAACTAAAGGGTAAATGGCTAGAGCTCAGCTCACGGGCTATCTAACTAAAGCTTCAATGGCTAGAGCTCAGCTCACGGGCTATCAAACTAAAGGGTCAATGGCTAGAGCTCAGCTCACAGGCTATCTAACTAAAGGGTAAATGGCTAGAGCTCAGCTCACGGGCTATCTAACTAAAGCTTCAATGGCTAGAGCTCAGCTCACGGCTATCAAACTAAAGGGTAAATGGCTAGAGCTCAGCTCACGGGCTATCTAACTAAAGGGTCAATGGCTAGAGCTCAGCTCACTGGGCTATCTAACTAAAGGGTAAATGGCCAGAGCTCAGCTCATGGGCTATCTAACTAAAGCTTCAATGGCTAGAGCTCAGCTCACGGGCTATCTAACTATTGGGTCAATGGCTAGAGCTCAGCTCACAGGCTATCTAACTAAAGGGTCAATGGCTAGATCTCAGCTCACGGCTATCTAACTAAAGGGTCAATGGCTAGATCTCAGCTCACGGGCTATCTAACTAAAGGGTAAATGGCTAGAGCTCAGCTCACGGGCTATCTAACTAAAGCTTCAATGGCTAGAGCTCAGCTCACGGGATATTTTTATAAAGGGTCAATGGCTAGAGCTCAGCTCACAGGCTATCTAACTAAAGGGTCAATGGCTAGATCTCAGCTCACGGGCTATCTAACTAAAGGGTCAATGGCTAGATCTCAGCTCACGGGCTATCTAACTAAAGGGTAAATGGCTAGAGCTCAGCTCACGGGTTATCTAACTAAAGCTTCAATGGCTAGAGCTCAGCTCACGGGCTATCTAACTAAAGGGTCAATGGCTATCTAACTAAAGCTTCAATGGCTAGATTGGAGCTCATGGGCTATCTAACTAAAGCTTTAATGGCTAGATCTCAGTTCATGGGCTATCTAGCTAAAGCTTCAATGGCTAGAGGTCAGCTCACAGGGTAGATAACTAAAGCGTCAATGGCTAGAGCTCTGCTCATGGGCTATCTAGCTAAAGCGTCAATGGCTAGATCTCAGCTCATGGGCTATCTAACTAAAGGGTCAATGGCTAGAGCTCTGCTCACAGGCTATCTAACTAAAGCGTCAATGGCTAGATCGGAGCTCATGGGCTACCTAACTAGGCACTGTATAACAGAGTTTCAATGGCTAGATCCCAGTTCACAGGCTATCTAACTAGGCACATTGCATAACAAAGATTCAATGGCTACATCCAGGTCCGGACTGGTGATACGAAGCAGCCCTGGAAAAAAATCACTGCCAGCCCCATAAGTCATTGTGCCATGTAGGGTGTTTATATATATATATATATATATATATATATATAGGCAATTGAAATAGTTGGCTGCACTCTCGGATTTCCTTAAAATGTTACTTTTATTGAAATATTTAAGAGAAGATCAACGTTTCAGTCCCTCTTGTGGACTTTCATCAGGATCATGACGAAAGTCCACAAGAGGGACTGAAACATTGATCTTCTCTTAAATATTTCAATAAAAGTTATGTTTTAAGGAAATCTGATAGTGCAGACAACTATTTCAATTGCCTGGATGATGCAACAGTATATATATATATATATATATATATTTTTTATTGATATATTTCTAATTCAAAATATTAGTTCTTTTAGGGTAATTAAATTATACAGTAAAGCATACTCACACACAGACACAGACAATACTGATGCACACAAATAGGTTCATTGACAGACAATCTCAATGACACACACAGACAAGGTTACTGGCACACACACAAATTTAGTACAGACAAACTCTGATACACACACAAGCTTACTACAGACAAGCTCACTGTCACACACACACGATAACTACAGACAAGCTCACTGATGGGCACACACTCTCCCTACAGACAAGCCCATTGACACACACATGCTCCCTACAGAAGAGCTCAGTAACACACAGATTCACTACAGGCAAGCTCACTGACACACACATGCTCACTACAGACAAGCTTACTGACACACATATGGTCACTACAGACAAGCTCACGATCACACTCATGTTTACTACAGACAAGCTCACTGTACACACATGCTCACCACAGACAGGCTCCGACACACCCATGCTCCTTACAGACAAGCTCACTAACACACACACACACACGCATCCTACAGACAAGCTCACTGACACACATACAACCTCACTCACTAGCAGGCACACACACACAACATTAGCATGCACACATACACAGAGGCTCTCACTAGGCAGAGATGTAAGGCCAGCACACACACACACACACACACACACACACACACAGAGGTGACAGTCACTGACACTAAGGCAACATTCACACATACAGAGACACAGGTAGACAGCCACACACATACACAGGCAGACAGTCACACACACACACACACACACACACATTAGTAGATAGTCAAACACATAGGTAGACAGCTACATACACAGGTAGACAGCTACACACTTCACACACACACACACACACACACACACACACACACACACACACAGGCAGACCGTCACACACCCACAGGCAGACAGTCACACACACACACACAGGCAGACAGCCACACACACACACAGTCACACACACACAGACAGTCACACACAGACAGTCAGACACACACAGTCACACACACACAGTCACACACACACACAGTCACACAGTCACACACACAGGCACACACACAGTCACACACACACAGTCACACACACAGACAGTCACACACACAGACAGACAGTCACACACACAGACAGTCACACACACAGACAGTCACACATAGGCAGACAGTCTATATAGCTTAATATTTGGTGCTGACTGACACCAGGTCAATATTAAAGTTTAGTTTATCCTTGTCACAATGGAAAACCAATGAAAGGCAGTCGAGGGCGCCATCACTTATGATGTACCACTGGAACATTTATAGAGTCATATATTCCACTGTCCAACAGGAAGTCAAATCTACAGAGTTTGGTAAAGCCTTTTGACAAGCCCACCAGAAAGTCATCTTGTGTTACAAGATACAGAAACTAGCCTCAAAGTGTCCGTCCAAACAATGGGTGTCGGTGCCAGATGTATCTTAAGAATATTTTCCATTCATTCTTTTACTGAGGATTTAACTTATCATAATGACATGCTTTTGGAGTTTCAATATTTGCAAAAATGGAAATTAAACAGATACGAAAATACTGGACAGGTTTATATTAGAAGCAAAGATTCCACTTAGGAGAATTTACATAGAAGCATTCCGGAATCCGGTACAGGGCGAATGAGGAGGAGGATTAACGTGATGGTTTAGAGATAGAATCAATGTTATTTTTGATGGTGTTCATGGGAGGCAAGAAGAGTAAGTGATTGCTACCATAACAGAGAAATATCAGCAAAGATACAGGTTGCACCAATGAACCTAAAAATTACATGTATGAACTTTAAACTTTGTTAAAATGCATGAAAAGCAACCAGTGGCTAATTATAAACTTCACAGGAAATACACTTTGACAGGAAATATCTTCTAGTCACACCAAAAGGCCATACTGTGCTGAGCCTTCCCACCATCTCCTTCCGTGTAACCCCAAATAGTTGGGAGATAAAACATCAAAATCTACCACTTGTGGGGAAACTCTTAGAGGTGGGGTTATGACTTTCAAAATGCACAGGAAAACAGAAATGGTAAGTAGAACACAGAACAGTTATTGCAAAACAGAGCTGCTGTCACTGTAAGGGACCATAATACACAACATAAAAGAGATCAGGCACAAAATCCGAGTTAACAATTACAACATCAGAGGTGCGGAGCCAAGCCATCAATGGAAATGGACGTGTGAGTCCTGAGATCCCTCTCCCCTGAGCTCTGAATCTGCATCTATCAGTGTTTATTATACACCATCTAACTTCAAAAAATGTATACAACGACAAGAGACCGTCGCTACCACCCTTTTGAAACATGGGGGGTGGCAACAAAAAGCGCAAGGATATGCCTCAATCGGTAGCTACGAGAGCAGGGGTGGCCATCTCTCTCCCAAGGCCTACCTGAATCAGGCTCAGACAGCGAGGATTACGAGGTGCCCGCCGACCCCCCAGGTCCCCCTCACCATGGGTGACCTGCAAAGGCTGCTTAAAGAAACCTCGGCTGATATCAAGGTCCACATCGCCGCTGAACTTAAAAAACAAATAAAGGCGCTCAAAGATGACCTCGAGGCCCTCACCTCACACACAAGCCTGGCCGAATACCACATTACAGGTCTCACCCAAAGAAGAGCAGTGAGAATTTTACACAGGTAATTAACTATGGAGGCCTTAGGATACCAGTCAAACAAAATTAGAGATGTTAGTAATTTCTGGAGAAAAAGAATGGAGAGTTTAGATACATAAACCCCTGGACGGAGAGTTTAGATTATTTCTCTTGGTTTATTACATTGAGAAGCAACATAATAGAGGGTCCACTGTAATTCCCTAAAGGAGATTATGCAACGCAATGTGAGTTATGTCAGAGTTATGTCAGAATTTTGCATATTGCACCTGATATAAGAGGGTGGTGATCTGTTAAGTAGAGTTTCAGCTCACTTGGCAGTTGATGTTATTATGTTACATAGGTTAAGTCTTTGTGATAACATTTCTGTTTAAAAGTGAAATGAGTTGGATTATTTATTATTGAGAATTTTGTAATACAATATTTATATACGATATGTATTATGAAGAAAATGGTGACTTTCACTGTAGATGGAAATTATTTTTTATATGTGTCGAATTAAAATAAAATAAATTATTATAAAAAAAACAAACAAACAGGTACAAACCCCGCAAGCTCCCACTGTGATAGTACCGAACGTTAAAGATATAGACTGTTCAAATTGTTAACAATATGTATTGACAAATATGTAAACACACACAACAGTAGGGCAGACACCAGACCTAACCCTGACAGCCCTCCCGAAAGATCTGCTCTCTGACTCACAGGAACATACTCCACACCCATACCATCAGAATGGGTCTGGAAAACGAGATCCCCACACACAACTAGTACACACTACACCCCAGCAAACACACTGCCTTACATAATTACTCCTGTCAAACGTGAAATACATTGCCTGAAAGGCGCAACAGAGCAATACAAACCTCTGACGTCTCTCCAATACACAAGAAACCTATTAAACTGTTAAGTGCAAGCTCAGGGGGAGGGATGGGAACCACCATGTGCCTTGCTGTACATATTACATCCTAATTCCTCCCTACAAAATTTATTCTGCAGAATATTGCTACCCTCCATCCGGCCTGGGACCTTATTTCCCAGAAGATTGGACCTACTCTGTCCCCTTAAAACCTGGCAACTCTAGTATAAGTCCAGGCTATATTTTTCACATACCTCAACCGCCTTACTTTCTCAACACCCTCAAACCCAGCTCGGTCTCCCCCAACCTCGTGCTCAACCTCAGTCTTTTAGGAGTAGGGTTAGGGTTAGGCTAGGGGTAGGGTTAGGATAGGGTTAGGGTAGGTAACCCTATACCTACCCCTAACCCTACCCTAACCCAACCCCTAACCATAACCTTAACCACAACCCTACCCCTAGCCCCCTACTGCCACCACAACTACTTACACGTCTAATAGGAACCATGCCAGGAAAAATTGGTCTAGATTTCTGTCATCATTCACGTTATTTCCGCCCCCCCCTCTTGTTTTGCCACTTTTCAGAAATCCGTAGAAATTCAGCACTTCAGAAATCCGGCAATTTAGTACAGTTTGGCACTTCTGAAATTCGGCACTTGACAATTCGGTTCGGCACTTCCAAAATTCGGCACTTCCAAAATTTGGTAATTTGGCAATTCAGGACTTCAGCAATTCGGGAATTCGTGAGCATTCGAATGTCCGAATTGCTGAAATTTGTCCGAATTTACATTCGGAGCAAAACGAATTGCACATGTCTTTCCCTTCACCCCTTTATATACTTACCTTCTTCCATTACCTACCTACTGGTCCCACACAACCACCCCAAAAATTTGCAGAACTCTTACCTCCACTGAACGGACGAGATCCCAGTAATCACACCATGAGCTACACAGTCAGGTGGGATGATCTGATTGACCCCCTGGGCTTGCACATTAGGTCTCGTCAGGAGGACCTAGGAACGACAACCCCCTGCCCCCCCCCGCCCCTCTCATAAAAATGTCCTCTGACATCGCATACTAAGGTATTAGGGTATACTACATTGCCATAACCTAGTGACACAGAACAAAATGAAAACTTTACCTGTACAAGAATGTCATTGATTACTATGGTTTACTATGGCTTAATATTGAACTATGCATTATTATCGTGAACACTCACTGTACATTGTATCTGTGACGGATCACTGGCACTCCGACCAGGTACCTCCACCAGTATCGATGCTCCTAGTGCTTGCCAAAGACTCCAAGCACTCCACCAGACACCATAAGCACTGCAGACCCACTTCCAGCGATGTAGCTGCGTCAGGGTGTCGCCGTCCTCCACCCACCCTGGACCCAAGACCAGGATCCAGCTTCCAGTGGGTAGACCTCTCCTTCTACAGAGAGTGTAGCAGGAACAAGCTCTTACAGGAGCGTATTCAGGGGAGTATTGTGATTATAGCAATCCCCAAGAGTGTAGTTATCCCATCCCCCAAACCTGAGCCAAGACTTCATGAAGGGGTCAAGCAGGTCTGATTAATGCAAGCCAGCACTTACTTATACAGTTCCTCAGGCCAGAGGCACAACCTCTGGACCTGATGCAACACATGCATACAAGGGACACAAACCAATAAGAACACTAACAATGACCGACACTCCCACATACAGCACACAATCCCTCCCCTCTGCCTGGGATATAATTAAAGCAGCCAATACAAAACCTAATTATCCACAGACAGAAAAACACACATTTTCCCCAAAGTCCAGAAAACACCCCAAAACACAACATTTTTACAACATTACATCCCTGGATAACCCTGATCTGGGTGAGCAACATATCCAAAAATCACTCAGATCAGAGCAGGGGTTCTAAAGTTTTGTGGAAGTCTCTTTTGACCGACCGCATGCATGATTTCATGCCCAAAACAGTTCCAGAGAATTTGGCTGTGCGGCCGGTCTATTTCCAATGTTAATTTCAGTTCAAATAGACGAACGGAAACCGTACGTGCAAATGTCAACGTTAAAGTGCCGTTCAAATTGTCGACTCCAGTCGAAGAGTTGAAGTCCAGAGTTTCAACGTTGTTTGGGCCGTCGCATGTCCCATTTGAGTTCCATGAACTCGACGACAAAACACCATTGAACTTGTTCAACTGAATTAAAATGGCCGTGTTCGAATGTCGAATGGCGGCCACTTCGTCTACTTCGGCACTTCGACTGTATCCGAAGTGCCACTTCAAAGGTGTAGAACTGTTCCAATATAATTTAAAGGGGCAGAACCAGTGCCTTAAAACCCAATATGCCCAAATAGTGCTTTTAAAGGGCCAATCATCCAAGGGGCCATAGTCACAGGGCAAGAGGCTGGCAAGCAGGTCTCTCCATGTACAAGTGGCGAGGTTACTTTCGCCACAGTATCCAATTGTAACCTTCTGGATCTTTTCCTTTCTGTACCCCCTGACCCCTTACACAGAATTTTTTTTACAAATTTCCACAAATAAAGAATTTTTCAAAATAAATAAAATTACAACATCTTATATATTTAAAATATAAGGATTTAGTCACATCATAAGGATTTAGTCACATCATATTTTTGTATGATGTGTGTTGTGGGTCACTAAAGCATTTTTGTCAGAAGAAGAAATTCAACTTGTATTCCTAAAACAGCAAAATTATGAATCCATTCCATGACTGAGTTCTAGGTTCATGTTCTGCTTGCTATGGTAAAGATATATCTGTCAAAGAAGAGGAAGTGGTAAATTGATAACCGGAATAAGAATGTCTTTGGTCATCCCGGCATAGAGTTTACCTACCATTAATCCCTTCCTGACAACAAGTTACTGTAATACATTTATATTAAGATAATCTTGGCAAAGTATCTGCCAAATGATGGTGGCACTCTAGCGGTATCAGTATTGTATCGTTTTTACGCAATAAATGTTCCAGTACATTGGTCATAAAGTGAAGGAAAATCCATATCAAGTCGCAGACAGAGGTTGATGCTGGTAACTTAGAATCAGAGTTATAGTCGGAAGGCTTGGAAGTCAATAAAATTAAAATTAAAAAAATAATTTAAAGTAACTGGCAAACAGCAGGTCAAATGCTGAAAATATGATGGAATCAGTAGCAAGACTTATGGCGGGTTGATATTTTTTGTACAATTAAAGTGAACATAAAGCAAGACTTTCCATCGACAATGGATACTCTAGATAGATCATAGGACTTTGTTCAAGTCAAAGAAATGGAGGAGCTGATGGGTCCTTAAGAGGCAGAAAGATGTGATAAAAATTTGGTAGTCTGACAGATTCGTTGGTGATTAGCTGTGGAATTGTTTGTTACAGACCGGTATGTGTATACCTAGTGCAGTAGAAAGGGCACCATTATAGTTAGTACATATTCTTTTTTGAGGATCAATATGTCACTAATTTTAGAAAATAGAGGTTGCAATCACACAATGTTAGAATTTTTCATCCAGAATTAATTTCAGATGACTGAATTAGTGATTTTCGTTTTGTCTTCTTTCCCTTTTAAACACGACTTCTGAAGTTCGTTCAGACTGTTTGGCTGAAATGTTGAATTTTGCTCAATTTTGACAAAATGTTTGTGAATCGAACAACGTGCAGCATGTTCTCAAATTAGATAGTTATGTGAGCACACACAACACCCATAGAAAAAAACAGCGTGTGCAAATATCAGTTTTACTTTTAGTTTGCAATCTTCCACTAAGATTGCATAACTACGTAATCCAGATTAATTGGAGGTCCTGCTCTACTTGCCAACGGAAACATTGTTAGTTATTTTCACTCCACTTTGGTAAATTCCCAAATAATTATTAATCTTTGCAGGAAAAAGTTGTTAATACCACATGGAAAATGATATAATTCACTCGGCCTGTGATATTAAACGGTTTTGGTAAACGATATACAGATGTCATATTTTCTTAGGTGTTTTTAATTTAATTGAAACAGATGCTAAAAAAATCCTTCCCCAGACCTGAAGTCATCGTGGAGATCTGAACAATATAAACGTGATGTCAAGATATCTTATATTAAGAGCAGCTGTTAAATTATCCATGAGAGCGGCCGGAATAATACTTTCGTTTAGCACTTAACTTTAGTGAGAGCCAGTCCATATGGAAGGAGAGGC